TCTCTAACGTTCCCACAATCAGTACCATAGCGATATGACTTCCAGCCTTTTTCTAGAAACTAATGCTGACAGGAACATGTTTATAAAATATTTTTAGAAACAAAGATTATTTCAGAATAATGAAAACATAATCACACTCAATGTATAAACAGTGAACTTAATTTAATAAACAGTGTAATGTAACATAATCAGAAGAATATTGCGGAAGAGGAGTTCAGCTTGGTCACGAGTGTCTCTTTTCATAGGGAGATGATAAATGTTCTTGAGCCAAAGGCAACTGGGCAAGTCTCAGGCTTGCTTCCCTCCCCCTTCTCTCCCTCTCTCCTTTCTCCCTTCCCTTCCTCCTTCCCCCCTTCCCTTCCTCCTTTCCTTGCTCCTTCCCTCCCTCTCTCCCTTCCTCTCTCCCTCTCTGCCTCCTTCACTCCCTCTTTCTTTTCTTTCTTTCCTCCTTCCCTTCCTTTTTATCTCTTCTCTTCTGTCATTTTGGGGGTTCCGGGTTATTGCAGAACCCCTGTGAAGGGATTCATTGTTAACCTATCAAAACATAGTCTAGGTACTTTTGATGTCAATAACTATACCTCTCTCTTCACCACCATAGTTAGTTAACTCAGTATGTAACCGTGCCATCATTTTATGTACCTGATCTCCTGGTGTGGGGCATGCCGATTCTTTCCTAACTTCTCTTACTGTTGTACGTCATGCCGGCCATTGCTCCTGTTAAGATCTAAGCAACTGCTGCTCAGCTCATCCTGCTTTTCTATTCACTTGTTTACCTCCTCAAAGGATTCTAGTAGGTATGGCATTCTTTTGTATAAGCACACTGTCTGAGATTGCATTTAAATATAACTTTGCTATAATGTGATAAATACAGTGCTTAAAAACTTGGGTTCTAAAGTCAGCCTACCTGAGTTTGAATCCAGTTCTGCCATTTGCAAGCTGTGTGATCTTGGGCTAGATATTTAACCTTCTGTACTTCCGTTTCTTCACCTATGATAGAGGGTAATAAGGGTACTTATCTCATCTAGTTGTGAGGATTATAGAAAGGATATATGCAACCTGGCCAGTGTGGCTTAGTTGGTTGAACGCCACCCCATGCACCAGGGTGTGCAGGAGGCAGCTTCTCATCAATATTTCTCTCTCATCGATGTTTCTATCTCTCTCTCTCCCCCTCCATTCCTCTCTCTATAAAAATCAATAAAAACATATTTTTTAAAAGTGATGTATTCAAAGGCACAGAACAGTATCTAGCATTTAGTGCTCATTCAAATAATATTAGCTATGGTTAGTGATAAATAGCTTGCTTTTCCTTTTTATTCACAGTATTAAATGTAGATTTCTACAAAAATATGGTTATAGACAAAACTTCACTTTTGGGCAAGAAATACTGGGAGCAGAAAGAAAGGAATACAGTGGTCTCAAGGGGGCAAAATACACATTAAGAAATACAGCCAATTCTTAAGATGTGGCCAGATGTCAAAATCTGTAATATAGTAGAGTGGCTGAGCGAGGCTACATGCAGTCACTGTGGTGGAGTCGGGCTACACACGGTGGGTGTGGTGGAGTTGGGTGTAGGTCCATAGGTCACCTGCCACCAGCCACGGGGTGGGTTCACACACGCGTAAGTAAAATAACTGCGATTTTTCCTGTCTGCTTGGAGTAGGGCTGGCTGGTACACATTTACATTCACTTCTCTATAGGGTTCTTTTCTCTGCCCTCTGTTCTCTTAGTGAACCTAGAGAAAAAGTCAAGTTTCTTGTTTACTTGGGCTTTTCCTAAAGGACAGACTCCATTACGCTCACGTGGCCTCCTTAGGGAGCCAGTTCTACAAACAGGCCCTCCCCGCCCTGCAGGGCTCGGGCACTGGAGAGTCCCCAGTGGGAGCAGTGACTGGTATGAACTCAGGAACTACTTTTGGAGATAGGAAAATATGGGGAATTCGGGGTCAATCATTCACTCTTATCTGCTAGAGAAGTACATCGGACACATCTGAATTAGGCATTCTTTTACATTTTAATTATTAGGCCAAGTCCTTGGTTGATAAGAAAATAAGTTCAACACATGTATGGAGGGAATACCAGGCATTTTTATTTTTAATCCAAAGACTCCCTGTGGTCTCAAGCACCGAGAAAGAATGCTGCCTGTCAAAGGCCTGATTTTTATTCTTAGTTTTGTAGCAGACTAGTTGAGTCCCAGAAAGGATGGAGCGATCCGTTCTTTCATTTCGGAAGAAGTTTTTCTTGGGATCATGTCCCTGGTCCTTCCTTACTAATGTTTTGTGAGACAGGAGGGTGGGCAGCAGGCCAGAGCCTGGGGAGACAAGCCATTCCCCGTGGGCACACGTCTCTCACGGTGCTCTCTTACGAGCAGGACTCCCCTTCAGCCTCCCCCATGGCATGTGCCCTGGAATATATACTTTAACATCATACTGCACAGAAGAAATTATTTTATAAAGAAGAAGCAACAGCGAAGAACCGATTGATTAACCATAACTTCTATTGGAAATTTTATGGACACCGGAAACTACGAAATGCTTTTACTCCAGAAAAAGGGTATATCCTAGAACTAATGGTGATTTTTCAAAATCCCGAATGCCTTCCAAGTATTCAGGGAAAATAGGAGTAGATAAACGTCACTATTTTTTGAAGCCTCATTAAGTGGGAATTGTAGATCCAGGCCTCCACATGGGTGACAGAGGAAAGTAGCAACTACACGTATGTCACCTCAGTGTCCATCATGAGAGGATCAATAGACCCAAACTTTGGAATGTCATGTAGCCATAAAAAATGAAATAGCTCTATCTACATGTATTGGAAGATACATGGCATGGAAGAATACCTTACACATTGTTTAGAACAATAATGATGCAGAACACTATTCATAATGGGATTTAATTTTTGTAAAAACAAACAATATACATACATATGGATATAGAAATCAGCTTTATTGAGAGCTAGAAGAACATATTTCAGCTGTTAACAGTGGATTCCTCAAGGTATCGAGAGTGAATAAAGAAGACGGGAGTGGTGGGGGGGAGGGGAAGAGAGGAATGTTCACTTTTTAATTTATTCACATCTGTATTGTTTGGGTTTATTCATAAACATGTATTTTATAAGACTTTGCATAAAAACATAAAAATATTTGTACCAGAAACGAATCTCTGTGTGTCTGGCGCTTTGAAGCTCTACAAAGAAACATGTTGTCAATCGGCAAAGAGCACACATGGCAAGCACCGAAAAGTCTCCTTACAAAAGCAATAGAAACTGCCTCTCACTTGTAAACATCGGCTATTGCATGTCACAGATTATAGGAAGAGATGGAAGTGAAATCCAAAGCTGCCGTGTGATGGAAATCCTTACATCTGTGTGAGCGGGCTGATAGCAACAGTGGAAGAGACATGTATGCAATTTAAAAAGATGCTGAACGTCTCAGCAGGCGTGGCTCAGTGATTGAGCATCCACCTATGAACCAGGAGGTCATGGTTCAATTCAGGGCACATGCTTGGGTTGCTGGCTCAATCCTCGGTGTGGAGTGTGCAGGAGGCAGCCGATCAATGATTCTCTCTCATCACAGATGTTTCTATCTTTCTCTCCCTCTCTCTTCCTCTCTGAAATCAATAAAAATATACTTTTTTAAAAAAATGCTGAACGTATGCAAATATTTTCATCATAATGTGGGAAAGGTATGCTGCTGCCCCATTATGATACTTAGCATCTTAGATACTGATTGTCATCCTTACACTTTCCTTATAAAGAGTTCCATCTCAACCGAGAGGGAATAATTTCCAGGGAAATGAATCCATTGGCTAATTAACATATTTGTATTGAGAACCTAATGTGTGCACTGGTCTACATACAGGGTTGGGGAGAGGGGACACAAAGTGAATAAGAGCCAATAGTTGCCTCAAGATGCTTATAAACTAATGGGGGAGCGAAGGTGGGACAGACTCCAGGATGCAATGTAGGCTGTCGTGAGCACATGTACAACTAAACTAAAGCAGGACTCCTGAGTAGCGTGGTTGGGTGGTCCCTCCAAAGGGAGGTGTTTTGTTTCCTATTGTGTTTTGTTTTAGAATAGAAAAAAAACAGGAAAATCATTTAAGCAAAGAGGAGAGAGTCAGTGTGGAGAGGAGACAAAGAGGAAACTAATTGGGTAAAGCTGGCAGAGGCCTGGAGAGGACCCAAAGGGAGAAATTGATCATGAGAAGGAGGGATATTATCCTAAATATGTAAGAAAGGAAGAGGCCCTGAGTGGAGAGGCAGAGACACTGAGGTGAAGGGAAAGGAACCCAAAGCGTCCACTTGTAACAGCTTTGGCTTTCTCAGTCTAGCAGGGGTGGGCAAACTTTTTGACTCAAGAGTCACAATGGGTTCTTAAACTGGACCGGAGGGCCGGAACAAAAGCATGGATGGAGTGTTTGTGTGAACTAATATAAATTCAAAGTAAACATCATTACATAAAAGGGTACGGTCTTTTTTTTTTTAGTTTTATTCATTTCAAATGGCTGGATCCGGCCAAAGAGTAGCAGCAGGGTTGGGAGCTATGGGGGATTTGGCATAGCCACCGTGAAGACTATAAGTCAGCCAGGAATGATGAGAAGGATTTTGCAGCTTCTTTGAGGTCATTGCTGAGTAGCATAAATTTTTAATGAAACTAATAAACGTTTTCATTACTTTCTCCTGCAAAGTTGCAGGTAGGCACAGGGGCATGGAAATTTAGCTTGGCTGGAGTGCATGTTTTGTAGAAATCAATGATTCTTATATTGAAGGCTGCGTATGAAAATTCATCAGAGATTAATTGCAAATAATCGCATTGTTTCAGATTTCACTTGGTCGATTTCTTTCTTTACCCTTAATATTTAGTCACAGCATTCAGATAACTATATTTTCATCAAGAACTAGGGACAGTATGCTGTGCTTCCAATGTTAACCAAGCAAGTAGTGCTATTAGAATCTCTAAAGTTTCTAGCTCACAGTTGCTTCTCATATATTATGCATTTTCAGGTTGGAAAAACAAATAGCATCCTTTTTGGAAGATCAGGACCCAGAGAGTAGACTAGAGGTTGGCGCCGACATGCGTAAAATTCATCACTGTTTCCGCCATTTAAAGGTAGGGTTAAGCCTTTCCCCTGGTAGATGCCTTCATCTGCTATGTTCAAACTACAATGCAGCCTTCCTACTGACCAGCTCTGAAAAGGTCGGGACCCATCCACACAGCCAGATGGGATGACCTTCGAACCAAGGCTGTGGTCGTCATCGAATTCCTGCAGAGCTTGTCTCTTACTTGCCAGTGAATAAGCTCGGACCCTAGACTTCTAATTCTTTTGCCAGGAATGTCTACCTTCTACACGGAATAGTTCCATGTTCAAAAACCATTTATTTTCAAGCTATATCCAGAGAACTGGTACCTTTAATGTTTTCCAGCAGTTTGGATTTATCCATATAAATCCTCAGTTTTTCTCTGCCTTAGGTTACTTCCACCTCACTTATAATTTGACATACTTTGTGAAATGACACACCTTTGTTGTAAGTCTGTTGTGAAGCATAGAAAAGGCAAGAAAAGTAAGTCATGGAGAAGACAGATATGTAAAGAATAATTGCAGTACATGGACAGTGTCATTTTGAAAAGTGGTTTGGGGTTATGGAGAAAGGGAAGGAAGTTCAAGAGGAGATCATGTCGGAGCAGGAATTTCCCAACTTAGGGAAGAAGAGGTCAGATAGCAGCGGGAAAGAGGAGGCAGGGTGGAGAGAGGGAAGACATGGCAAGCAAAAGCCACTGCATGGCAGGAGGCAGGAAGGATGTGCACACTGGTATGTGTAAGTCATTGGGGAAAGTGGCATCTCAAAGAAACACACTTGGAATAGAGATATGGACACTAGCTCTTATCTCATCTTCCAGAAACTACTGATGGACAAGAAGGGTGATGGAACAAACACAATGTCCTCTGAAATCAAAGACCAGGACTGTCAGGAGCCACTGAAAGAGGAGGAATATAAAAAACTACGAGATATTCTACAGCAGAGAGATAATGAAATCAGTATCCTTTCTGAAACGGTAAGAAACCCTCCCTCCATGGGCCTGAGCAGGGGGAGGGGCACAGACTTCCCCTGGGCACAGCACCTGGTACCCCACACACCTGCTTCCAATACAGGTTACTGTTTTCCGTTTTGAAGTAAGATGTCTTTTTTAATTGTTTGTGTTTTTTTTTTTGGTTCTCTGATTGAGTGATATTTTCAACTTTGTCTTCTAATTCACTGATTTGATTCTCAGCTTCCCCTAATCTGCTGTGTATTCCTTCCAATGTGTTCTTTATTGGTATTATTCATTCTTTATCTCAGACTGTTCTTTTTTTCATAGTTCCTATATCTTTTTTCATGCTGTTGAGCATTTTTACCATCATCACTCTGAACTCTCATTCAGATAAATTTCTTATCTCTGCTTCATTTATCTCTTCTTCTGGAGAGTTCTTTCATTTGGGGGTTATTTCTTTGTCTCCTCATTTTGGTTGTCTTTCTGGGTTTGTGACTGTGTATTAGGTAAATCCTCTCCACCTCTCGATCTCTAGTGCAGGACAGTGTTAAAAGCTGTTCCTGACTGATTGGATCAGGCATAGACTCAAAGCCTCCAGAGGCCACCTCTGTCTTCAGACTAATAGGATTCTGACTTGACTTGCCCCCCAAGCAATCATCCTCAGGTGTTGGGAGAGTTTTTTCAACAAGGTGAGGCAGTTGCTTCTGCCTGGAGGCTAATTGTTATTTTTAGTCTCTTAAGTGGCCTCAGGGCAAGATGTTTTCCAATACGTGTGTCAACTGTCTTCCCCCGGGCAAAGCAACTGTCTATGTGGGAAAGATGTCCTCCACTGTGTGAGGGAATGGCTCAGCCCAGGAAATGTGGGGTGTCTGCCTTCTGAGCTCTATCTCCCAAGTCCCCAGTCCTGGGTTCTGCTCTCACAGCTCCAGTCCACTTCACCCTCCCTCTGCCAGAGCACAAGGTGGGTGGCTCCACAGGCAATTCAGTGCATTGGGCCTTTAAGAAGGTGCCTGAATTTCCAGCCATCTCGCCCTGGCAGACAGCACCCTGCTGCTTTTCACAGCTAGATGTTATGTGGGTACCCTTTTCAGTTTGGTGCTCTCTGCTGGGGAGCCCAGCTTCAGGATTAGATCCCAGCGTTCTCAGTAGCACCCCTCCCCCCCCCACCACAGCTAAGATATCTCTCCAGGACTTCAGTTGTGGTCTGTGGGAACAGGGACAGCCCTTTCGCGCTTCTGCCTCTCCTACCAGTCTCTATGTCGTTTCCACTTTTGGTCCTCAGATATCAGAGTTTCCTCCTGCCGGGTTTTCTTTGATTATTCAGGATGTTTTTCTGTATTTTAGTTGTAATACCAGTTTGTTCCTGGGAGCATGTCCATGCAGCATCCACTTACTCTGCTGCCATTTTTAATCTCTCTAAGATGTTCTGATTTCAATTTCCAATCAATTATTGACTGTTACTTTATAAAATGTAGTAACACATGGCAAGGCACTATCACGTTGCTAAAGGAGTTTTTCAATCCTTACTCTCAATTTTAGTACTTACCTGTACCTACTTGTGACCAGACAAATAGGTACAGACTATTCACTGTTAAGGTAACAAATCCACAAAGCAGAATTGTCCCCCACCTGGTGAAAGAAATGGACTTACAGGTCCAAGAAGCGCGGAGAACCCCAAACAAAAGGAATCCAAAGAGGACCACACCAAGCCTGATCGAGAATTGAGAATTGAGCCTTGATCTTCTGGTTCATAGGTTTATGCTCAACCACTGAGCCACCCCAGCCCTTCAGCAAACAAAATGGAGCAACAACTGAAAAATCTTTACTTTGTTTTTAGCCAGATGTAATAGTTACTATTTCTAACTCTCTGTCACTCTCCCTTCCTCTCTGTAAAAAAAATCAATAAGAGAGAGAGAGAGAGAGAGAGAGAGAGAGAGAGAGAGAGACTAAAAATTTCAGTTTATTGAAAAGTGTGGGCTTTTGTACACCGTCTTTTCACATTAAAATTTAAAAATATTTTTGACTGCTCTGCAGTGCCCTTTCTGCTTCAGTCCTGAGCCAGTAAGCTAACTGGTTATCTTTAGCTAGCTGACCGGACACCAGGCTGACCACAGCCTCACCATGGCCCAGAATTTGTGGCTTGTGTGTGGGTGAAACTGAAATGATGGCTGAAACATGACAAATGGAATTTAGCTTATGAAGAGCAGAGATTGATTTAAATGTAACTTTTCATTTAAATGCCAGACCTACTGCTTCGGATTCCACTTACAGATGTTCCCAAATTTGGAAGCAAGTGTGTGTGAGTGTTCAAGACAGGACTCCCCGGGCCCCGGGAGGCGGCGTGTTTAGGGTGCTGACCGTGATGGATGCTGGGAGTGGCCTCGGGGGACAGCGAGGTGGTTACTGCAAGAGCCCCTGTTGTTGGATGGAGACCTCAGGTCTCCCCATGACCTCAGTTTTGTTTTCTATTTTATCTTTCAAACTTCTCATGAAAGATTTGACATTTTGTTACATTTTCAGACTTTAAACATACACAAGACATTATTTTGGTCAGTTCTTTATGAATAAGTATTTTGGCTCATGTTTGAAAAATTACTAAAAGGCATTTAAGCTTCAGCTATCGTGCAAAATGCATAAAAATAACCTACACATGAAAGGAGTCCAGTAACAAAGAGGTAAAAGGAAAAAAAAAGCACATGTGTCACCAATAGGAGGTAGGCAGGCTGCCTGATTAACTTCAGCCTCTTGTTTTAGTTGAGAATTAGCAGACCCTGTATGTCTGACTCAAATGAGCACTAACTGCTTCATGGCCAGCCAGCAGCGAGGCTCCCTGTGAGGGACACCCCCACACAGGCCCTGTGGGCCACAGGCAGTGTCACCCTGCATTCCTTTCCCCTCCCTCCTGCTCCCCCAGACGCCCCAGCCTGGACCTCGGTGCTGGCCCAGCCCCAGCTGAGCTCCGCTGCTTTTCCTGGCCTTGGTCCTGATTGAGGATCTTCTCCCCTAACTCCTCCTGCCAACTTCCTAATCCCCCTTTGGGCTAATGACTGTCTGTGCATCGAGAAGGGATGAAACAAGGTGTGACAGGGAGGGAGCAGTCCAGGCCGGAGTATATACGTTTATTTTAAGAAGAGAGTGAGAGAGAGCCACCGGCATCTCCCTTCTCCACTGCGGTCCATGGGGCCACACTAGACTCCTTCCTGACTGCCAGTCACGTGAGCAGGGTGGCCCCTCTGAGACTCATTCAAAATGATGGTGGGTAGGAGGCCTGGGGATGGGAACACTGACCTTAAAGCTCGCACCAAGACTCACTCCTAGCTCTCCAGGTGCTGGCTCCACTCCGTTCTGGGAGGAACGGCCTGCCTGCCAGCCCACGTGCAGAGCAGAGCCTTGAGAGGGTCCCTGGGCATGGCAGGGCGCTGGGCAGTGGGACAGACAGACATGCGTCTCAGACAGCGGGGAGCTCAGAAGGGCAAGAGCGGGTAGATCCACACCTCACAGCGTCGACACTTAGCAAGGGCCCTCGCCGGGAAAGCCTCCTGAGACCTCATCATCTCTCACAGTTGGGTTGGGGGATATTTTCATATATTTTCCTGTAGAACCAAGAGGGCCAAGACTGTGACAGGAATAAGAGAGACATGACTTAACAGGGAAAAGTGCTAACACTCGAGGTCAACCAGAGACAGCAATGCGACCAAAACGAGTGGACGGCGTTGAATGTTTGTCTTGGAAAGAGAGTGAAAATGATGTCATTTTAGTGTCATGTTCAGTTTGAACACCCCTTCTAATGCCTCTTCAGAAAACATAATGGGGGGTCCCCTGGTCCCTGCACAGCGCTGGGCACAAAGGAAGGCCCACGTTAAACAGAGCGGGAAGGGGAAGACGACAGGAAAGATGAGAAGACAGTAGGTAGCTTTGTGTTGTGAGCTTTATCAAATAGGAACCGAAACACGTGGTCGCAGTCTTCCAGGGCCTCCCATCAAACTCAGAATTCTGCTCAGACTGCATCCACCAGACCATGAGGCCTTGCGTGATCATGCCCACCCCCGACCCCCTGACTTCACTTCTCATGCCCCTGCCCCCTGGGTCAGGCTGCAGTCACAGTGACCTTGTTGCTGTTCTAACACAGGGTGTTGCAGCTTCGCACCACAGCCGTCTGGGCTGCGCAGTGCTGTGCCCGGGGCCTCTCCTATGCATCGCGGGAGGATTCACAGCACCGCCGGCCTCTCCCCCCGGAGTTCAGTACCAGCACCTACCCCCACTCCAGTGTGACACCAAAAATGTCACACTGGGGCTAGGGAACCTCTGCCAGGCCACTTCTCCTCAGGGTTTTCGCCCCGGCCATTCCCTCTGCGGAGGTCCCCCTCCTGTGCCTGATTCTGCCTGCCATTCAGATCTCAGCATAAAATGTCACTCTCAGAAAGGGTAGCGCCCAGTGCAGAGCAGCCACTCAGTTGATCTTGGCCTTTTTAAATAAGCACTTTCACTCTCTCACATGTGTGAGCGTGTGTGTCTATGCATGTGTGTGTCTATGCATGCGTGTGTGTGACCCACCTTCCCCACTAGGACGTCTGCTTCATGAGGGGCTGCCGTGGTATCATATATTCCCGTCCCTGGAACACAGCCTGACACACAGCGCAAGCTCCCGTGAGCATCGCTGGGCGGGGAAAAGAAAGCAGGTTGGCACTGCAGTGCGTGGACCCAGCAGGTGTCTGCTGCTGTCGATCACACACCGAGGAGTGGAGACCCGTTCCTCTCTGTCAGGCCAATGTCAGACTCACAGAGGTGTGAGCACCTTTGCTGGTTGCAAGTTTTTTTAAGGCAAAGAATAGGAGCCACATTGGGATTGTAAGAGAAAAACTGATTATCCTTCCAGAAATGGGCATTGGAGTCAAAGCTGAGGAGAAGATGGAGGGCAAGTGATGTCCATGTTACTTGCCCAAGAATAAGTGTAATTGGACGCTTCCTCTCCTTTCTGAGAGTGTCTTCCCTCCTGCACTGTCCTCATGTTCTCTCCAACTCTTGCATGAATGAAGCCGCCTCCAGGGCCGGCGAAGGTCTTGAATTGGTATTCCTCACGTGCAGTCAGGGCTCTGCCATTCTCAAGAGGGACAATGGCTTCTCCTTAGAATGATGGCAAGAGCTCCCTCGGGTTCTGGGCGTGCTGAGCACAACACAACAGTGAGGTGGGGTAGAATGCAATGATTTTCTCTCTTACCATCATTTCCCATCATATATCTAAATATCAGTGCCCTTAAAAGTGACTATTTATACTAATAAGTTACCTCTTTCCAGTTCAATTTCAGACCCAAAATTATGTATTTTAAACAAAGTGACTTTAAAGCCCACGAGAAAGTATGTTAACGAAGCCTGGAGGTGCTCTGGGCACCACAATTGATCTGGCCGCTCCCCAGCAGGGCGGGCTCTGGGTTTTCTCTGTCAGCGCTGCTGAGCAGCCTCCTGGGTTAACTCTAATTTGCTCACTGATATGTTCATAGAGCCATTGCCTACTGCCTGTCAGTGTTCACTTGATCTTTATAAACCTTTCATAACAATGGTAAGGCTGCACCAGTTCACACGCAGAGCGTGCCCCTGAGCTCGGGGCTGGCTCTCTGCCTACGATGGCACCACAGTGGAAGACCAGTGCCCTCCCAGCGCCCATGGCGCCACCCGTGACTCCAGGAGATTGAAGCCTTCCTCAGTCTTCACCGCGTGGGAAATAGTGAATATTATTGGGAATATTAATCTCATTGGAAACATTCACATTCCGATCATTGTAATCTAGCATGAGCCGTGAAATCCTTAAGTCATGCCTCAGATATTCTGGTCAACATGTTAAAGAAGGAAAAGAAGAAAGCTCAAGATGCCCTCCACGCATCTGGCGCGGATAGAAACGAATCTAGACGCGCACAGAACTCGCCCCTCCCCGCAGGGAACCCGGAGGGCCCAAGGACATTGCCGCCCTCAGCTTCCACACAGGCCCAAGATGCCACCACTTTTGGGCACAGATCCAGTTTGCTCCAGAGAAAAACAGGTCGGTGACATTTATTTATAAATATAGATTATAGAACCTGATATAGAATATCATAAATTGCACATCAATATAACAAGTAGAAATAGTGTAAGCAATGATCACTTTATCATTACACTCATCATTGTAATTCTTCCTTTTATTATTACTAATATTTGTTGTGGCTGATAACCTTTCTCTTGAACACTTGGAAGAATCTGAAGTATGGAATGTACTAGAACAAAGGTTTAAATGCTTCCCTTTTGACAACATCAGTTGACATTTTCTGTGTAAACGTTTTCTGTGTAAATGTTTGTTGGGATGGTGCCCTGACATGCAAGGTTTCCTAAAGGATTTGGCTTAGGAATAATTCGAGCCTGGTCTCACACAGAAAGAGATTGTTTCGTTTATAAAGACAAAATTGAGACGCCTGGGTATATAGATTGTGACATTATATCCCTTTATTGCCTTTTAAATTAAATTTATTGGAGTATCATTGGTTCATAACATACATAGTTTTCAGGGATGCAAGGTTATAATTTGACATCTGTGTACTCTACCACGTGCTCCCACCTGAAGTCTAGATTCCGGCCGTTACCATATATTTGAACCCTTTTACCTTTTAATTCCAAATCTTCTTGCTTTGAATATTTTTTTTAGTAAAAGTGTAGGTAGGATAAATTCAAAGTCATAGGAAACCAAAAATGCTTTTTAGCATTTATTGTAGTGGCTGTGGAGAGGAGGGGCGTTACTCCTGTGACTGCTCCAGCTGGCACACCTGTACTCTATGATGGGTAACAGCGGGCTGGAAAAGTAAGCAGCCCTCTGGGCAGGTGAATTTATCCATTCATTCATCTCCTAGAGGCCCAATACACGATAGGGGCCATTGGGGGCAGGCCAGCTGGGCAAGGGGCCACGGGAGGTTGGCCAGCTGGCCCCACTCAGGACTGGGGTCAGGGTGCCCGCTCGGGGGTGGGGCCAGCCAGGGTGAGGGGCCGTGGGCATTCCGGTTGTTCTGCTGTTCGTTCAATTTGCATATCACCCTTTTTTAATATAGGATTTGTTTATTCCTTTATTCCTTCAACACCTATTTATTGAGTACACACTTTGTTCTAGGTACTGTGCTAATTATTATTATTATTATAACTAAAGCATACATAGCCCTTGTATGTATCAGGGGCTATTCAAAGTTCTCTACCTGAATTAACTTGCTTAACCCTTACCTAAGTTCTTGTTTTACCCCATATTACAAACGAGGGCGCACATGGGCAAACACCGCCTCTGACCTCAGAGTGCCTTGAACAATGAGCTACAAAGCACGCCTCTCTGTTACTGAGGGAGCACACACGAGGACCCGGGCTCCAGTTAACCCCAGACAGATCCAAAAGGAACGTGGGGGGGGGGGGGAGCGGAGAGTGTGGGGAAGGAATGTTGCAAGCAGAACAATCACCTGGGTAGTTTTCAGGGCCTTTGTGGGAGAAAGGAGCATTTTAGGAAGCGAGAGGCCAGGATGGTTGGCATTGTAGAGTGAGAGGCTGGGAAGAACAGATCGGCAGAGGACACAAAGTTTGCACATGCAATGAGAAGACCGTTATCCTAGTCCAGTGCGAAGAATGGGATGAAGAGAGAGGCAGGGGATCAGAAGCCTTTAGGAAGTGGAGTAAAAGGGCCTGGTGCCTTTATAAAGGATACTAGAGGCCTGATGAACGAAGATTCGTGCAAAACAGTGTGCCTTCCTTCCCCTGGCTGCCGGCACCGTCTTTGCTCCGGCTGGAGCCACCTTTCTGCCTTCCCATACTGCCCAGAACATCCACCCCACCACTCACCACTCAGTGCCTGCATATGCAAATTATCCCGCCATCTTTGTTGAGTTAATTTGCATACTCTCTCCTGATTGGCTGGTGGGCATCATGAAGGTATGGTCAATATGCATCTTTCTTCTTTATTAGTGTAGATGTGTGTGTCTGGGAGTGGGTAGGGTGATATTGGCCCCCTGGTATTTAGGGGGCTGGGGAGGCTCTCCATGGAGATAGAGAAGTGGGCCTCTCAGCACTGCAGCGAGAGGCACTGTTGCCACAGGAACATAATCTTGGCGTGTCTGCCAACATGAAAGGTCCCAATGAGTTCCCACATAAGAACCCCAGGCTCATGAGGGAAGGAACTCTGTCTACTAGCCTTTTCCAAAGACACACACCATGTGCCGTGCAGATATGGACTCCAATGTCGCTGCCCAACCCCTTGCCGTGTGCAGCAGGCCCTCTCTATTTCTGTTTTCTCTTAGCCACACCATCTCTCTTCTCATAATTCTCCCCCAAAGCAGCTCATAATATCTCTCCTAACTCATAATTACAGTCAACTCTCAGTCACTCTTTTCTTCTCTCGATACTGCCATCGGGAAAGACTATAGTTTTGTTTGGAGAATGAGTTAAGTTTACTTGAATAGAAAATCACTGAAAAAATAATGGAAATTGTTTGTAAAGTCCAAGTACAAATGAGGTAAAAGAGTTTTGGCACAAAGCCTTGCAGTTGAAAGGGTTTTTGAGTTGTTTTAACTGTCACTGGATACAGTTCTAGCAATAACTTTGAGGAGGAGCAGGCTCACAAATGGGTTGATAATGATCTAAGCCGTGGAGGAGGGATTGTTGGGGGATTGATTTTATTTTTTGGCAAAACTACAGGTGGGATGAAAATTGCTGTGGATGGGCCCATGCCGCAACGCAACAGGTAATGGGATAGCTTGTGGCAATGTTTAAGGTCCTCGGAGCTGATTCGGCTTTTATTAGAACGTTATTTTATACAAGCAGCTTGTGTACTCTAAACCAGATTCAAAAACGCATTAACATGCTGCTTGGAAAGTATTTCTGCCGTATGTAGGTGTTGTCCGTTTCTATTCACCATCCCCGGGGCTGTCTTCAATGTGGAAAGCAAGTACGTTTGGCCATCTTGTACTCTGAGACCTTGTGAAATTGTCTCCCCTTTTTGGTGACCCCCTTCTTCCACTTACCCCCACTTTATGCTGAAAATGACTCCTTTCAAGCTTCTCCTGTTGAAAGAACGTGAAACCGAATTCATGGTTCCCTGGAGAACCGTGGTCATTGCGCAGCCGCTGTGACAGCGGAGGAGGGGTGAGGCGCTGGGCTTTTGTTGTTGTTTTGGAGGTTAAATGTCTGTTTGGGTTTTATTGAAATAATAGGAGGGGTTGTTCAGCTTTCCAGTTTGAAAGAGTCATATTGTTCTCTTTAAAATAGCAGGAGTTTTATAGTTTGTTTGGGTGCGAGTTTCTTGTTTGAGTTGGGTTCTTTTCTTTTTCAGTTTTTTTGTTGTTTGGGGTTGGGTTTGTTTGGATTTTTATTTTTTTTTTCCTGTTTCAGTTCTCTGACTGTAAGCTCCAAATAGTCACCTGGAGCCCTCAGTATTCTGCAGCCCCTCCTCCACCCCGCCCTTCAACTCTTTGAGATGGTAGCAGAGCCCACTCATCAAGGTGATGTCACTGGCATTTTACTAGTAAAAGGTGAATTGAAAGCCAAAGCCACAGCTCCAGGCTCGTTTCTCTTACTCCAGGAGCATTTATTTACTCTCCAGAGGATGTTCACAGAAGGCCCAATGGCACAGCTGCAGGGGCTACGAGGTGAACTGAGGAATGCTCTCTGGCTCTGCACCCTTACACTTAAGTACAAAGAGCAGAAATTAAAGCAGCAAGTGCTATAAGCAGGGACTAGAAGTAGTGCTATGGGAATGCAGTGGAGAAGAGATGAATTTCAATAAGTAGATCGGGGAAAGCATTCCAGAGCCAGTGACATGGAAGTTAGGTCTCAAAAGACTGTCAGAATTGGGTATTCAAAGATGGAGGGAAGAAGGGTCTCAACATTCTAGGTTTAAAGAATATTATGAACAAAGGTTTGGGAACAGGACATGGAAAAATGTGTACAGTTGGCAGGGATATTTGTTTAGCTGAGGCCTTGGAGATATACAGGAAGTCAGGAGAAATAAGGCTACAAAAATGAGGGGGACATTGTTAGAACGGTTGCTTCAGGGAACGGGAATTGAGGAATGGATGGGAACCCCCTTTTAACTCTACGCTTCGTATTGTTGTGATTGCCTGCATGTCTTTATTGGGTAAGTAGGGACACATTATGGAAACCCGTGAATGCCAGTCCAGGGAATTTTCTTCATTTGGTTGCAAGGAAACCACCGAAGCAGAACGGGCCTGGCAATGGCTGTGCTCTGGGAGGTGTTTCTGGAAGAAATCTTCAGGGTGCATTGGAGACGAGTAACTGGCTCCTGGAGACTTGAGCAAATGGCTCAGGAAATACCATAATAGTCCAAGTCGGGAACGATGGAAACAGAAGAGGCGAGGAGCCCAGAGCAGTTCCAGTGGCATGAAGGGCGGCTCTGTTGCTCCTTCCTGACTGTGGGTTCTCCTGGCGCTGAGGGTGCAGCTGCAGGCAGAGAGCAGGCGCGGGGCTCTCGGATGCTGTCTCGGACCTGGGGCCAGCTCCTTGGGTTTGCTTAGTCTTGCTCAAAGGATTGCTCTCTAGACCAGAGCTACTGCTATCAAGGCTTAATATGCCCAGCCCTCCACTAAGGTGAAAAGAAAAGCTCAGAGAGAACTTGGTGGAGACAAAACTCACCCATAAAACAACCGATGAAAAGAAAGATGACAGTTTCTAAGATCCTTCTCAGCTTGCTTTGTGTTAGGCCGCAGGTGCAGTTGTCGCCTCCTGCATTTCAAAGCTCTCATGACCCATGCCGCCCTCTTTTTTGGAACTGACCACACTTCCATCTTTGCATTTTCCCATAAGCGCAGTTCAGGAGATGGTCAGTAAACAGATCGCTGCCTCCTCTGCAGCTCTCTGGCCAGTCTCACTTCTGAAGAGCACAGTACTGACCAGTTAGCCAAGCTTCACTCCCAGTGCTGCCTCTTCGCATCCCTCCTATGTGAAGTGTCTGTAGGTTAGATGAAATGAATAAATGACATGAGAGAGAGAAAGAGAGAGAACAGACCTCTGCTTTTAAGTCCAAAA